ATATATATATATGTAGAGAGAATATAGAGTTCAATGGGGATTGGACTCCCCATTCTATTAAATCCTAGTCATTTTCCCACAAGGAGATTTTGAGTTTACTGATATTAAACTCTTCATTAAACTTTCATCTGAGATGGCCTAATGTTTACCTAGTATTTTAGGTTTTCAATTATGAGTTTCCTTTACTAAATTGAGATGGCCTAATGTTTACCTAGTATTTTAGGTTTTCAATTATGAGTTTCCTTTACTAAATTGAGGTAAATCCTAAACACATAATAACTAACTAGTAATATTTATTGAAGAAAGATATTTTTGGGCCCTTCCACATGTTGGGCCCTGTTAGTCTAACATGTTGAAGAATAAACACCCATAAGATCAGCCTTGCTACCATTACCGTAGTTGACACATACCTTCTTTTGATTTGGATCTTCCCACACACAAGTAAAAGCTCGATGGAGCCTGGAGGGTTTTTGAAATGACAAAAATATATGGAGGTTTTGCATAAACAACTAATGGAGGTTTTAAAGAAACCAAAACAAATGGATATTTTTAAGGTTAGGTTTCTTTGATTTTAAATGTTTTGAAAATCGTTTGAAAACCAAAAATCGGTTCGAGTATTGCAGTTTCAAAACTCAAATGAAATGGATTTTCCAAATTCGGGAATTTACAACAATTTTCATATTCGTTTTTAAATGTTCTTCATATGAAAACCTAGGTTCCATTTTTCTTAAATAGATTTTCCAAGTTTGAGCTCTCTGTTCATGTGATGGAGGCATGGAGCGAAAAAGATAAGAAAATAACCTTTCTTCTAAAAATCCTGTTATATATAGTGTTTACCATAAATAAGCCGAGTTTCACAAAATACATGCTAAAATTGGGTTATATATGTGTTGCTTTTTAGTTTTTAATAGCCATTATGTAATAGTGGCCCTCGTGTCTTCTTCCACTTTGCAGTTCATATCCTGGAGTTATATTTATATAAATCCTAACCCATGCAATTATATGATTGTAGGTATTTCCCTAATAAGATTGCATTACATGATACTATATATATGCATGATGATGATTCATATTTCATAAGACCGAGCCTAGGTACACAGAATGACATAGAAACTTACAGTAGTAGTGACACCTTAAACTAGTGGTTGCATTTATTTTTTTTATAGTGGTTGCACCTTAATTAAAAAAAAAATAGAAAAAAAGAGTTGCACTAACGAGCTGAAATCGAGTAGTAGCCCGGGACCCCTGGAACCACTCAAATCCGCCGCTGCACCGAATACAATGATACAAGGGCCTATAAATATATGTATAATAATATGCCCCCCAACTTGAAGAGGAGGTTGATGACCACTCAAGTTAGAGTGAAACTCTATAAATAAACGGGATGGTAATTCCTTGGTAAAAATAAAAGCATATGCTAGTAGCATGATGGAGCACAAAGTATTCGAACATAAAGTTCACACAGGAGATTGCATATCCTATATAACATTTGATCAGCAGTAACCGGATGTGGATGGAATAGTACTACCGTGTATCTAGCCGTAATTTATTTTCCTTTCTCTTAGTTGTTACAATCTATACATGTATTTTATTTGTGTGATACAGTTTCTGAACAGTAGAACTGTTTGATTTGTCGAGTTCATATGAAAGGTTATTGATTGATCTTCATTAATCACAAAGTAGGTGATATTGTTTCATATAACTAGACAGACATCAATGTAAGCATTTTATGCATGTTAACATTACATACGCTTCCACTTGTTTATCACGTAAATAATGATTATGGACATGATAAAGCATGCTCTCTGTGTGAAAAGCATGTTACATGATTTATTCAACGATGTTATGTTTTAGAAATCATGAGAAGTGTAGGATTGATCAATAATTCTTGTATGCAAATATTCTCATCACATAAAGAGGAAATAATATACGTTGCGGCATCAATTGTAACGAAAAGATTCACTTAGTGATCTATTTGTATATACACAATCGTATGGATAACATGGTTAATTTACACGTGTGTTTATTCAATCTCATAAGACACACGGAGGTATGTCATTAGGTGATGGTATATGTTTATATTATTACCAAAACAAGTAATAATATCTCAATATGTTAAAACTGGTTCGAAACAGGTTGAACTGGTTGGACCGAAAACCAAAGACGAAAGCGATTCAACAACAACCGTTTTTTTTTTTTTTTTTTTTGTATCTCTAGATCGGATTAAATCGGGCGGTTTCACAAAAATCAGGTTGAATCGGTGCGATACAACCCGTAAAAAAACCGTTAGTTACGGTTTATTGAACTTGGATAATTAGATTTCATTTAGCCATTAAAAAAAACAATATATTTTCAAAGCAAATTGAACGACTCAATCGATCAACCTAATTACAATGTACATAACTCGAAGGCCAACGCACACCACTGTCAGATGTAAGAAATTTTTTGGTTATATATATATATATATATATATATATATATATATATATATAAAAGAAAATAGAAAAATATATAAAAATTATGGAAGCAGGTTTGAACTTACGGTCAAAAAGATTGAACCGGAAACCGGTAACCAAACCGGTTCAACTAAAATAGATTTTTAAACATCGAGTAATCTAATATATTTTGCATAAAGAGATTAGAATGCTTATAATATTCTAAAATAAATAAAAGTTCTAATAGGGAATTAAGAAGGATAAGATTGGCTTGACTTCCGAGCACATTTGGTCTGTTTTTAATATTTACAAATAATTAACAATTAAATATGATTGAGAAAAATAATAATATGATGTTTTTTTAATAAATCAATTTTTGCATGGGTATACACTGTATAACATTCATCCTTTTAAGTGAGTCGTAGATAAAAAAATCAAAGAGGTAGAGTTTATAACAGTGGTTTTCAAAAGAGAAATATATATAGAGACATAACTCACTAGAAACTTCAACGATCTAATAGTCTATATACAATCACAAGGCATAGATAGCTATATATTATTACTATATCAATTTCAAGTTCTCTAGCTATTCTACCCAGTGTACGAAGGGTAATATAGTCAATAAACTCAACAACAATGCCTTCTGGTCCAAAGAAGAGGAGAGCTGCAAGGAGGAAGCGTGGCTCCAATGCGAATCATACAGGTGAATTCATTATGTTTCTGTTTTTGTAATTAAAGTAGGCGTTTTTCATAAAATTTGTAGATTGTTTCCATTACTTGTTTTATTTGTTAGTTTGTTTATCAATCGTGAACTGATTTGGTATTTTTTGTTATTTGTGAGTAGAAGATGAAGTGGAAGATGCTGTTGAGGTTTTTCAGACCCTAAGCAATGGTGACATGAAGGCTGAGTCTCATGAGCATGTAGAAAAAAGTAAAGATGTTCCAGTTGTGGAGGAATGTGATTCTGTTGGAAGCAATGGGAAACAAGAATCTGTTCATGATGAAAAAATCATTACGCATGCAACAGTTATGGTGGAATCATCTGACTCTGTTGGAAACAAAGAAAAGGAATCAGAATCTGAAGCTGTTGATCAAATTCTGATTCAACCAATCTCAAAAGAAATCAAAGGAAATGAAGATGATGAAGTTGATGATGGTTTTTCAGTTGTGAAGGAGAGTGAAAAGAACTCCAAAGAAGTTGTTCTTCAAGATCCATTCGAAGAGCCACGAGTTGACACAGTTGACCAGGTGGTTCAGAAGGAGTTGCCTTTGCAAGAAGCTCAAGATCTTTCTGTTCCAATCGAGTCAGTTTCTGAAGTGAATGTAGAGACATTCACAGAAGATGCTCAAGATTCTCTCAAAGAACTTTCAGTTGTCCATGAAAATGAAGGTGTTGAAGTTGGTGAAAGTGAATTAGTTAAAGATGTGTCAGTTGTGAAGAACGAGGGTGAAGATCAAGATCCCTCTGAAGAGACAAAAGAAAGTTCTTCAAGAGAATTTGATCAGTCGATTCTGAAGAACATACATATTAAAGAGGCTGATCAGATCCCTACAGAATCAGCTGAGTCAGTTATTGAAGTGGATGTAGACGCAATATCATTTGAAGATGCTGAAGATTCATTCAAAACACCACTCGGAAGCCCTTCTATTGGATATATGTCTCAGGTGATCAGATCTTTGAATAAATTAGCACAAAATCCTTATTTAGCAGCTGATTCTGTAGATGAAGTTAATGTACAAAAATCCTTAAAAGAGGATCAAGATTCTATCACAGAGCCACATGGAGTCTCTTCTCTTGTTGATGTATCTCCTGTTGAAGAAATTGTTCAAGGAATTGAAGTTGCTGAAGGTGGTGAAAGTGCATCTCATGTTGAGCCAGTTTTGAAGGTGGAAGAAGAAATATCCAAGGAAAGTGTTCTTGAAGAAGAGGTAATAACTGAAGGTTTTTCACAAGAACTAGTTAAGCCAGTTGATGAGTTGCTAATGGAGGCCATACCTTTGGAAAAGGCTCAAGATCCAATTAAATATTCTTTGGAAGAAGTTGTTAAAGGAAACGTATGTGGTGTGGGTGAATGTACATGTGATTATCCACTGATTAATTATGTTGTGTCAGAGGATAAGAAGATGTCATTCAGAGGTGTTTCAAAAAAACGTTCTAAAAAGCCAAATGGAAAATTTTCACATGATCCAGAAGAAATGTTTGATAACATTGATATGTCTCGTGTTGAAGGCTTTGTTCGATTTAATGGTCATGGGAATGAGCCAATTGGATTATCTTCACGTGATGATGTGGCGTCTGTAGAAGGTGTTGTTCCAGGAAATGAAACTGTTGAAATTGGTAAAGGTGAATTTAATCATGTGTTAGTTTTAAAGGAGGAAGAAGAGATCATGCCTATAGAAGGTGTTCTTGAAGAGACAAATGGACGTTCTTCAGATGAACCAAAGGTAATGGTTAAGACACTTGATCATTCTATACCTGGTGATTCAGTTTCAGAAGCAAATGTAGAGACATTTTTAGAAGATGCTGAAGAATATTCTCCCAAAGTGCCTCTGGGAATAAACTCTTTTCTAGTTAAAAGAAATGAGTATGAAGAAGTTGGTGAAAAAGAAACGTTGGTTAATCCTTTTGTGTTGGGTATAGAGGATGAGGAGGATGATGAAGACATGTCTATAGGTGATGGTGTTCTTGAAGAGCCTTTAGAAGAAAAGAAAATTGAAACTTCTTCAGATGAACTACAAGCAACGTTGAAAATGGTTGATAATTCAGTTTTGGATGCTGAAGAGTCACTTTCTGAAGCGAATGTAGACACATCTTTAAAAGATGCTCAAGGTTCTTTCAAAGAGCCAATAAGAGAATCTTCCATGGATGATGTACTTCATGATGCTGATTCAGTTATGAAGGAGAATGAAGATATGTCAATGGAAGATGTTCTTGAAAAGCCAATTCCACGTTCTTCAGATGAACCACAACCAATGAATAAGAGAGTTGATCAAGATCTTTCTACACAAGCTAAGTCAATTGAAGTGAATGTAGATGCATCCTTTGAAGTTACTCAAGATTCTTTCAAGGTGCCATTGGAAGACTCTTCAATGGATGATTTATCTCATGTTGAAGCTGGTGATCAAAGTGAAAGTCATGGTGAAGATTTTTTCAAAGATAAAGGTTATGAAAGTGCAACAATGGTTAACCAAGTTGAGTTAGTTATGGAGGAGAAAGAAGAGAAGTCCATAGAAGGTGTTCTTGAAGAATCTTTTGAACATTCTTCAAATGAACCAGAGTTAATTGTTAAGACAGTTAATCAGTCTATTCTGAAAGAGGCTCAACATCCATCTTTAGCAGAAGAATCAGAGTCAGTTATCGATGTGTTACCAATTGAAGCCATGGTTGAAGGTAATGAAGTTGTTGAAGTTCATGAAAGTGCATCTGAATATTCTTTGCAAGAACCAAAAGCAATAATCAAGACCATTGCTCAGTTTATTCTAAAAGGGCTACATTACAAAGAGGATCATGATCCTTCAGTTCTTGAAGTGAATGAAGACACATCCTCTGAAGATAGTCAAGTTTCTTTTGAAACGCCACTTGGAAGCCCTTCTGTGGACCATGTCTCCCCTAATGAAGCCTTTGCTCAATGGAATGAGTCAACTGAGTCAATTGAAGAAAATGTAGAGTCACGCTTAAAGGATGCTAAAAACTCTCCCATTGATTCATCAGGAAGCTTTTCTCTAGTTGATATGTCTTATATGGAAGGCGTTGAAGAAAATGAAAGTGCTGAAGTTGTGTCATTTTTGAAGGATGATAAAGAGGTTTCTATGGAAGGTGTTCTTGAAGAAGGTTTTGAAAAGAAAGTTGGAGATTCTTCACATGAACAAGAAGCAATGGTTAACACAATTGATAGTGTTGAAGTTGATGAAAAAGAGGTGTCTATGGAAGGTGTTCTTGAAGAACATTTTGAAAAGAAAAATGGAGATTCCTCACATGAACAAGAAGCAATGGTTAACACAATTGATAGTGCTGAAGTTGATGAAAAAGAGGTGTCTATGGAAGGTGTTCTTGAAGAACATTTTGAAAAGAAAGATGGAGATTTCTTATATGAACAAGAAGCAATGGTTAACACAATTGATAGTGTTGAAGCTGTGTCAGTTTTGAAGGATGAAAAAGAGATGTCTTTGGAAGGTGTTCTTGAAGAACAATTGGAAAAGAAAGTTGGAGATTCTTCACATGAACAAGAGGAAATGGTTAACACAATTGATAGGTCGCTTCTGCAAGAGAAAGAGGCTGAAGATCTGTCTACACCAGTTGAGTCAGTTACTGAAGTGAATGTAGAGACATCTATAAAAGATTCTCAAGATTCTTTGAAAGAACCATTGGAAATCCCCTCTATGGATGATGTGTCGCCTCTTGAAGGCGTAGTTCAAGGAAATGAATTTGGTGAAATTGGTGAAAGTGAAGAGATCTCCGTAGAAGGTGTTGTTCAAGATCCTTTAGAAGAGCCAATTGGAAATTCTTCTCAAGAGCTAGAGGAAATTGTAAAGACAGAAGATCAGTTGGATTTGAAGGAGATACCTTTGGAAGAGACTCAAATTCCTTCTTTACAAGATGACTCAGTTATCGAAGTCATAAAAGATGTTGATTCTCTCAAGGAGCCACTAGGAAGCTCTTCAATTATGGAAGATGATGGTGATATGTCCATGGAAGGTGTTCTTCAAGATCCTTTCAAAGAGCCAAGTGGATCTTCTTTACATGATCATTTAACTCTTGAGGAGTTACATTTGAAAGAAGAGGCTGAAGATCCTTCTATACTATCTGACTCGGTTATTAAAGTGAATGTTGATAAATCCATTGAAGATGCTCAAGATTTATATGAAACGCCACCTGGAAGCCCTTCTGTGGGCCATGTGTCTCCTGTTGAAGGCTTTGAAGCAAACATAGATCACTCTTCCATGGAGGCATTGGAAAGCTTTTCTATGGCTGATGTGTCTTCTATGAAAAGCGTTGTTCAAGGAAATGAATCTACTGAAGTTGATGAAAAGTCATTGGTGTCCATGGAAGGTGTTATTAAAGAACCTTTTAAAGATCCAGTTGGACCTTCTGCAGATGAACTACAAACAATGGTGAAGACAGTTGATCAGTTGTTTCAAGATCCATCTCTACAAGGTGAGTTAGATTCTGAAGAAAATATAAAAACATTCTTGAAAGGTAATCAAGATTCTTTCAAAGAGCCACTGATAAACTCTTTTCTGGATTATGTGTCAGGAAATGTTCAAGAAAAAGAATTCACTGAAGGCAGTGAAGATGCAACAATGGATAATCATGTTGAATCACTTAAGAAGGAGAATGAAGACTTGTCCTTAGAAGATGTTCTTGAAGTACCTTTTGAAAAACCATTTGGAGATTTTTCACATGAGAAAGAAGCAACAGTTAACATAACTGATAGGTCACTTCTGAAAGAGATACCATTAAAAGATGCTGAAGATCCATTTGAAAAAGTTGAGTCAGCCACTGAAAGTCCCTCTTTGGTTGATGTGTTTCCTGTTGAAGGAAACAAATTTAATAATGTTAGTGAAACTGCGTGTCATGATTCACCAACCATGGTTAATCATGTGGTGTCACTGGAAAGCTCTTCTATGGTTAATGGGACTCCTGTTGAAGGTGTTGGTCAACGGAATGGTCAACGGAATGAGATGGTTGGACTAGTAAGGACATTGTTGGAAGAGATTCGTCGAATAAGGGCATTTTATGAAGAAGGGTTGCGTCAAACTACCAAAATAGATCTCCAGATGCTTGAAATTTTGGAAAAGTATGACTCAACGAGATAATTTGAGTTAGTTCTCTTTTGGGCTAATGTTGTTATTTTACCTTTTAGTGTCTTTCTTTAAGATGTTGATCAGTGTTATGACTGATTTAGTTTACTTTGGAATTGTTTACAGCTGTGATCTGTTGTGAACTTAATAAAAACTCATGACCCTTTATTGATTAGATACTATTTGGACCCTATTTATCATAAAAAAAATAATAATAAATAAATAAAATAAACTTCATGATTCTATAATTCATAGAATCATGTCACTACAAGAATTGTTTCCTTCTCCGATCACACATGTTGTCGCTATAAATACAGCTATGCTGACGATAAATTATCGGTACATGGTTAACAAATTTTGTTTGACCTGAGTATATGTCGACAACTTGTCATCGACATAGCTTCGGTGGGAACGAAAAGTCTTTACTCCTGTTTTCTCAAAACCTATGCCGATGACTTGTCGTCGGTATAGATTACAAAAAATATAATTTCCATTTATTTATAATTCCGTGGTGCATAAATAAAAAAACAATGTTGTTTTTAGGGAAACTATCCAGATAACAAGTCGTCGACATAAAATGTGGCGATTCGCATGAACTCTATCCCAACGACAAGTCGTCAGATAAATTTTGAATTATATTTTTTTTTATTTACAAGAAATACAATACGACGTAGTTTTCTTTTACCCTATACCAACGACTTGTCGTCAGCATAGGGTTTAACCTCAACAAGAGTCTGTCCATCGAATTTATTTGCAACGCCACACCTAGCTTTCTTTATCGATCTCTCAACGACGATCGACACACAAGACCACTCCTCCGGCCACTCTCCTGGCGACCGCATGTAACCACTCCTCATTTCCAATTTCACTATTTTTTATGTTGGATTTTGAGATTTTTGTGAATGATATTTTGTTTTTTATTTGTTTCTCGGTAAGGCTATCACCGGAGGACCACCAACGACAACCGTCTCCTTCCAGCCACTTTCCTTCACTGCCGACAACAAGTAAGGTTTTTTATTTCTAAAGTTTTTTTTTTTTTTCTGAATTGGGATTTTTCCGGTGACCACCAACTACCACCGGAGGAACATCGTCACCAGCCACCACCGGAATTCGAGCTCCACGACAGGAAGAAGAGGTATGTTTCTAGGTTTGTGTTTTGGTTTTGGTTTTGTCTTTGATTATGTCACAACTACCCTTTTTAGCTAGGAAATCCTGCTCTCATGTAAGCACCAATTATTGTAAGGCTTGTATCAATGCATTAAGGGTTATATTATGGGTCCTAATGAACCATGTATTATTATAATGCAAAGTATTTATGTATCTCTCAAATCTCTCCCAAAACTCTCCATGTATATCAAATCTCTCCCAAATCTCTCCATGTATATCAAATCTCTCTCAAAACTCTCCATGTATATCAAATCTCTCCCAAATCTCTCCATGTATATCAAATCTCTCCCAAATCTATCCATGTATATCAAATCTCTCCCAAATCTCTCTAAGTATCTCAAATCTCTCCAAAGCCTCTCTATGTATCTTCCTTAGTAAAAAACAACTCAAAACGAGAGGAGAAAACTCAAAAGAACAAGCTCATTCCGGAATACACTATTCATTTTCGGAACCTCTCTTCTTGGTCCGGAACCCTCTTGGCCCGGAACCCTCTTAGTCCGGAATACCTTCTAAGGAACCGGGAAGATTCGCATCTCGGAACCCCTCCCTGCTTCGGACCTTCTGATGGACTCTGGAATACCCTTGCACCGGACAATCTCGCTCCGGAATAACCTCTCATCCGGACAACCTCGTTTGGAGCCTTCGTGCTTACTTCGGAAGGTCTCGCCTCGCAGCCTCGGAAGGAAGTGGTTCCGGATCAGAGCTGACTCCTGAACCTGAGAGGAGCTTCGGAACAATGGAAATTTACTTCGGCACTCGCCCATCTGACTCCGAAACTCACTTTTGGCTTCGGATTTTTGACCATTTCGGAACTTCTCTTCATTTTAGGAAATTTTGACGTCGGGAATCCCACCAAACTCATATTTTTCATAACTTACACCTCCTAAACCAATATTTTATGCTAAATTTGAGTACTTGAAAACATATTTACATAAAATAATAATTAATAACTATAAAAGTATTATATTAAAACATAAAGTGATAAGGGGTTGACTTTATGATGGGATGTAATACCCATTTCCCATGCAATTCACAGTAACCCATGCAAGAACCACCAAATAACAATGTTTGAACCAATAGATTTCCATGCACCTACCCTTTCTCCCTTTTTCCTTATCCTCTTAAAGCAACAACAGTGGGAGATTTTAAACTTCTCAACTTCTCCCACTTCCCCCATATTCTCTCAAATATTTCATTCAAGAAAAAAAGCAAGGATTTTGTTAAGGCTCAACTCTTCCCGTGCTCCTTAAGGTGTTAGGTAAGATATTCCATTAATCCAGTATGTTACATCTTTTGCAGGGAGAAGTTATATTATTTTATTCATAATAATATGTGATACAAATCTTTAGAACAACATTCCTTCCCAGGAAGTTCCTCAACTCATCCAACAACTTAGGCTTGAAATTTTCATCCCATCACTCCAACCAACCCATCAACCAACTCAAGGTGAGCTTCACACCCCAACTTTTTTCGAGTTTTATTATTTTGGGGGAGAATACAAGTCAAATCTTGTCTAAATCCTTGGATAATTGCATGTATTTGTATGTTTAGGTGTGTGTGTGTCGAAACGTTATTTCAAGATAATTTTTCATAAACTTGAAATTTCACAAACCTCATGATGTTAGGACAATATTTTAGTCACAACATAAGGAATATTCTGTTTGCAAACTATTAGTGATTATTTATAAATATTTAATATAAATAATAATCAAGAAAATGTACAAAATAGGGCTGTTATGACAGAAATAATTACATGTCATAAAACTGCTGTCATAAAACTTTAAGAACCACAAGTGATCAGCTGTATGTCATAAAGCTGAAAAACGCATGTCATAAAATTGCAGTCATAACTTCACACAGGTCATAGTTTTACACAAGTCATAACTTGACACCTTCCGACAAAATTGGGTCATTTTGATAAATATTCAAAGTGGAT